GCTTAACCAACTGAGCCACCCAGGCGCCCATGTTTAGAGGTTCTTAACGAGAGCTGCCTACAAGCCCTGGATGATCGCAGGCAGATATGGTTCACACCACCCATTCCCCAGGACCCTCTCATGTTGCCCTGCCCTTTGGTACTTGAACACCTCCGTGCTGGATCTGTGTACCTGTTCCCAAGCTCTGAGCTTCCTCAAAGGCTGGGGTCCAGTTTCCATGGCCTAGTCCCTCTGGAGCTGGCCTTCTCCTACTGCCTGTAGCCATCTCAGCAAACATCTTAATTTTCTACGCTGGAGTCAAAAAGTTTTCACTGTTAATCTCGATGTCTGTCGGTATGTGATTACGTGCTTAGGCCTAACACATTATCTAAGATCCTTTACAAGTGTCCACTTGGTTCATAGCATGGAGCAGCACATGTCTATTTTTAGGATTTCTGGTTGCAAGTGACGGAAGCCCAACTCTTGGCAGAAGAGAAAACGTACTACCTCGTGTAACTGTAAAGTGCAGGAGGGATTTAGGAGGTCAGGTGATGTCCAGGAAGGTCTTTTCCTCCATTTCCTGGCTTTGCTTTTTGATGTTTTGGCTTCACCAGATGGCCACCGGTAGTTGTAGGATTAGCTGGTTTACTCTTTCCCTCAGTAGAAACCGTTCCTCTTTTCCAGAAGTTTGAGCAAAGGTCCCAGAACCAAACTCCACTGGCCAGCTTGGGTCATGTGCTCATGCTGGAGCCAGAGTTGGCCACCCTTGAACCGTGTAGACTGAGTGGTAGCAAGATGATTCCCTACAGGAACAGCAGGGTGTTATTAGGTTCCCTCCAAACAGTACCCATAGGCTTCCACACAGAGCCCAAGGAAGGGCTCTGGGGAAGGTGAAGCAGGGGTGGGACTGTATTTCTTATGGTATATCCACCCAAGGTAAAGTGCTGGTAGATCATTGCTCATTCTCTTTCTTTGACCCTGTGTGTCTCTGTTTACTGTCTCCCGCGCTTCTGCCCAGAGCCGTTCCAGACAACTACAAGGTGATTTTTGTGCAAGGAGGTGGGTCTGGCCAGTTCAGTGCTGTCCCCTTAAACCTGATTGGCTGGAAAGCAGGAAGGTGTGCCGACTATGTGGTGACAGGATCTTGGTCAGCCAAGGCTGCAGAAGAAGCCAAGAAGTTTGGGACTGTGAATATCGTCCACCCCAAACTTGGGAGTTACACGAGTAAGTGCTGGGATCTGAGTTGCACAATGACAATGAAATGTGGACAAATGTTGCCGGGTGGGTGGTCCCTCTTCAGATATCAGGTTACCCCTGCCCAGGGCAACCTGTAGTTTTTAATTCCTTCTTGTTGGTAGCTGATTTGATACCATTTAGAGTGGATGGTCTTACTTGTTGAGATTACTAACTGGCTGCTGCAGAAAGAATATTCATAGGTTTACTCAGCTGAAAAGCCTACGGGCCGGGTTGGCTTTAGGTATGGCTTGATCAAGGGCCCCCAACAATGTCTGCAGGTCCTGGTGTCTCTCCAGGTCTCCTCTATAATGGCTCCACAGTCAGGAAAGCTGTCCCTTCCCTTTTAGAAGATGCTCCTGACCTTATATTCTCCCAAGTTTCAACGCCTTTGCTCAAGCATTCCATCACAGCCTCACATCTCCTGTGTCATGTGGCTGTAGGTGGAATTGACTACACCGGAACTACATGAGCTGAGCTGGAGAGCTGGGGCCCCAAGAAGGAACTCAGTGGACATAGGATGGATGGGTACTGGGTAATAGGAAAAATACCAAATATCCACCATACCATTAGTTGCCCCCAGTAACCGTCAAAAGGATGGGATGGATCATCCTTTTAGGTTGTTGATGGGGATTATAATGTAAGATGGATAGGGTGGTGTCACTTGGGAGGACTTTGGAATCAGCCTTTCACGGCTAGGGGAGGGCTGTCATTCCTGGTCATTCCCATCTACACAAGGAAAGAGGAATGAAAGCGCAGACTCTCCACCTTTTCTTCTGTGATAGAAATTCCAGATCCAAGCACCTGGAACCTCAGCCCGGACGCTTCCTATGTGTATTACTGCGCCAACGAGACCGTGCACGGAGTGGAGTTTGACTTCATCCCTGACGTCAAGGGAGCCGTGCTGGTTTGCGACATGTCTTCAAACTTCCTATCCAAGCCGGTGGATGTTTCCAAGGTAGAGCGTAAAAGGGCCTGGTGGGGGAACCCCAGTGTCTTGGATTTCGTAAGGGCATTTTAAGAAATACGAGAACAAGGAAAGGCACAGAATGTCTTGGGCCAGCAGAAACCCTGAAGCCAAGACAATTCACAGTGCCCAGGCCAACAGTTGCTTGTTTATTGTGGGTTGTTGGAGCGTGTAAGTCTCGATGTGTTCCACCCTGTGTTAATGATTACCTCACGGAGTCACACTGGAGTCCTTGGGGAATTCATCTGCCTTTGAGGGTCCCTCTTAGGAAATGTTTTGGCCAATACATTGGGAGTAGCTTGCTGACTTCCGGGGAGGATGCAGATGACCCAAGCTCGGGGGATCTCTGAAGGAGCTCCACCCTACCTCGAGCCCACCTCAACTCCAAGAGCATCAACAGGACACAGAGACCATCTAGGTGGCCCGCCAAGGCGGGCAGGGGAGCAGTGCACTCAGGTGCATGCAGCGAGGGGGCATAATATCTGTAAAGCGTTTAGAAACAAATGCACTAAATGGTAGCCTGCCTTTTTAAAAAAAATATTATGGTAAAATATATATAACATAAAACTTACCATTTTAGCCATTTTTGAGTGTACACTTCAGGGGCATTAAGTACATTAACACTTTCAGGCAAACATCACCACCATCCGTCTCCAGAACTTTTTATCTTCCCAGACTGGGACTCTGCCCATGAAACAGTAAGTCCTCAGCCTTCCCCCAGACCCTGGGAGCCTCCGTTCTCTGCATTGGACTACTCCAGCTATCTCATAAGGGGACTAATGCAATATTTGTTTTCTTGTGTCAAGTTCATTTCACTTAGAGTAATGCGCTCAGGGATCATCCATGCGATGACAGGTGTCAGGCTTCATTCCTTTTTTTTTTTTTTTAAAGATTTTATTTATTTATTTGACAGAGAGAGACACAGCGAGAGAGGGAACACAAGCAGGGGGAGTGGGAGAGGGAG